ATGACCGCATGTGGGAATCAGGCCACGTCAAAAAATCATGAATTTTGATCAGAGAATGCGACCGTACCCAGGTTATTCAGCAAAGTTAGCGGCCTCTAATTATCACCTCTTTTGGTCCCTATCGCATCCTTTGAAGAGCAAAAAGCCCGAAAATCGACCTCAACTCGAGAATGAGGTCCACCTCTTCTTTTTATCATAGTTGCCGTAGTTCTATGAGAATGGAAATGAGAAGCTGTGCAAAAGAAGGGCACTAGTCCTAGTCATCAACTGCGGTTACCTTGTGGATTGGAGATGTCTTTTAGTGACAGAAAATTTAGTGCGAAAAATTTGGTCCTGTCGCAGGACTTTTCGAACAATCCTAATATATATAGAATTCTATTAACCATAATAATGGAACTCGTATATTATATACAACAATAATAATATATGTTGTATGAGTTCGCAACGGATGCTATCCAAACCATGCCGAAGGTCGCCTCTTTGAAAAAAAAAACGCGCGCGCTTGGCTGAACCCTTTTCATTGAGGCGCTCCATTTTATTACAACAGCCCGGAGGTAGAATTCAAAAGGCTTATTCTACTACGGTGAGCATCGTTACAACGATGAACTTTGTTCATCGTAGTACAGTATTGGAGTCATTGGATGATCAATAACCAAAAAGTTATCGAGGAGCAGGTAAGGAAATCCGGGGAATGCAACTAATTCTTGGTAGTTTCACAAAGTCCTCTGAAACAAATCTGGATCTACTAAATAAGGTAGAGAACTCAACTCAGAGAATTTTCTTCTGACCATAAGGATGCAAAACCATTACTAGATGATCCTAGTATGGTACTGCGATTGTAAAGCTCTGTATGAGGCTTCTGAACCACCTCGAGCAGTTGAACGGGCTCGCAAAATAGAGCACCCCAATGGCAAGGATGCAAACACATTAAGCAAATATTACATATTACATTAATTACACGCAATACAAATACATTTCTGTGTATGTTTATGTTGTTGCATGGCTCGTATGAAAATGGAGTGCGCGCTCGGAATGCGGAGAACGTAATGATAGAGATAGAGCCAGTAAGATAGTGGATTACGCGTCATTTCTCACGCTAGGTGGGACAGCTTCATGCACCCATTCCTTAGAGCTTTCCTACATATCGAACATTCAGACTGAGAAAGTATTTTGTTGAACGCGGATTCAAAAATGTTGAAAAAATTAATGTGGTCACCCTATGACCTTGATTAATACACAATTCAGCCTGAAAATAGCTTTATAATAGCAGGGCAAATGATTGCAGTTGATAATCATCAGTCTTAGCTCAAAATCCTCCGAAATGTCGAAGTAAAAAGTTTTGTTCCCAGAGGCTGGATTTACGGACGACCCTCCCCCAAATTGCGCCAGCCAACTCTGCGTTTCTACCGCTTCGGGGATCCCCTCTAGTGTAGCATACGGCCGCTCTGGGGGACGTCCCTCTGGGGTGTCTTCCCCTATAGGGGACCCCTCCCCTCGAGGAGTTAGCATACGGCCCCTGATTGCGGCTATTTTGCTCTCGTTCGTATTTACTCTTTCGTATTTATCTTCTTCTCGGTTTATTCGAATATCGAATATTTATCTTCTTCTAGTTTACTCGAATACACGTCAGAGCGCGCCCCAGCAATTTTGCTTGGACCGCTCAGAGTGCTCTTAGGAGGAATTGGCTTGATTTCCTGTTTTTTTTTCTTTTAATTGCAATTGATTCAGGTACCAGAGTTTGTTTTGACTCGAGGGAAGGTGGGTGAAACCTAATGGCCTTTTTCCTATTCTCTTTTCTAGGATAGAAATGAGCAAAAAGCGAGGGAGGCCTCAATCAGGATTGTTACTTTTTCCATTTTTCGCGCTTACTTATCTGCGCCCTGCGGCTTCCCTTCGTGTATTCACGTAACGTGTCGCTTCCTTCCTCGAAAACATGAGGCTACTGCACTGGAAGAGTCCAGCCACGACTGAAAATTACCTTTAGATATCGCTCCTTTGTCATAGTTCACTAAAATTCATTAAGATGTTACGTCCCCAACGAGTAGTGAAACTAGGCGCGCGGTTTCGTAGCACTGAGTTGTGCGCAATGGCACGCACGCAGTCGAGCTATATCCTCTCTATATATAAAGCAGAAGTTGTGTGTTTGTATGTTTGCGTGTTCACCCGAAAATTGGGGACTGTGTGGAAAATCACTTTTGGCGAACGGATCAAGCTTGGGATGGTTGTGGCATGGGACAACATTTACAGAACACCTACAAGGTAACCTAGGCTCCGCCCACAATGGGCGGGGCATCGGCGGAAGTGAACGGTGCCATGGATAAAAATTTTTAAAACGTATCCTGAGCAACCCGAAGGATGGTAATGTGCTTGAAGGGCGACAGCGGGAAGCCAGATGAAGTAAGGGAGAGACACCTCAGCAAAAGTAAGGGGCAAAAGTTATATTTTTGTCTCAAGACAAATGAGAATAGTAGTGAACATGAGGTCGAAATCGAAAATTTATAACTTATTTGTATTTATTTATTTGTTTATTTACTTATTTACCTGTTATTTATTCTACAACAATCCAACCCATACTACCACTTCAGTTTTCCACTGAGCATCCAGTTCCCACTTCCCACTCCTTGACTTTACGAAAATTTTACAACCGTCCACTAGGGGGGGGGTATATACCAAGGCGGGCGATCCGACTGGTAAAAAAAATGGCACCTGGTGCTTCCTGAGGCATTGTTCACAGTCTGCGGTCCAGCGTTTCTCTGAACGCGGCGGTTCGGCGAAAAGCTTTCGATACGTATCGACTGGCGGTTGGGCGAAAGGGTTTTGATACGAATCGACGGGCGTTTCGCCAAACCGCGACGTTTTTCGCCTTCGACGAAACGCTAGCTCGATCGCCTGGCGTTTTTCGCCAGCGAAATCGATACGCATTTATTGCTTTTCGCCCAACCGCCGAACCGCGGCGGTTCGGCGAAACTAGCGGTTGGCGATTCTCCGATCGATGACTATTTTTTGCTTTTCTCCCAACCGCCGTTTCGTCAGAGGTCGGGGGACTGTGAACATGCCTGGCCTCGCTTTTTGAGCGCACGTTGTGCTCTAATCAGAACCTGCGCTGCAATCGCCTCCAACTGCCATCTGCTGAACTTTTCGTCTTCCAAGCGGTTATCCAAGTAATCTTTCAGCAGAAAGGTAAACATCATTCTTCCTGTCCTTGCTTTCTTATACATGGCTTTCTCTTTTTTGGAATTTTGAGAAGGGCCGTGGGCGCGTTCCTGTTGCATCCTCTTTTATTGCTGTTTTTCTTGATAGGAAGACTTTTCATTGCTGTTCCAATATCATGTTTTTTGCATTGCATCGGCGGAGAATTTTTTACCGTATCCTTTCAAGTACGCCCCGTACCCTGAAGATGAGGTCTGCGTAGTTGCGTACTTCATTTCGACATGGCGTAGGGTGCTGTTTTCCTTTGATAGTTCGCTTGAGACAATGCTCATCCTGTCCGTTGCTTGTGAGTAACATACATATTACGTTTGTTCCAAAAAACAACAATATCCCAAGAAAGAGCAGCTTCTCCCCGTTCAAATGAAGTATGCAGCCACATCCTTCCCATCTGAGGGAGACGGAGTGTATGTAATGTTACACTAGACCTCTGTATAAGTTTCCTCCATGTTTTAAGAATTGATTTGTTGACGGGGAATCGCATAAACGCGAGTTGTCAATTTTTTGTTACGAACTCCAACTGAAGAATGCTACACTTAGAGCCGCAGGTTACAGCTCTTCCGCAGTGAGTCGCTTTGTCTCAAACTTGTCCCATTGAGACTGTATTGAAAATGTTCTGCAGTACAGTATTGATCGGAAGGCTGAGTCACAGCCCCTTCACTGCCTCCCTTTCTCGTGTTTGATTAGGATCGAAATAGTTTCCTCCTTTCAGATTCTCTGTTAGACTCTTAAATCACCTGTCCTCTTGGATATCGTTAGGATGTCCACAGTCCGTGACCCAGCGTTTCTCTAGAAAGAAACGCTTCGGCGAAAAGCTTTCGATACGTATCGATTGGCGGTTGGGCGAAGAGTCTGGCGGTTGCGCGAAACGGTTTTGATACGTATCGACGGGCGGTTCGGCGGAGCGGTTGGGCGAAAAACGCTGAGGCATTGTTCACAGTCTGCGGTCCAGCGTTTCTCTGAAACGCGGCGGTTCGGCGAAAAGCTTTCGATACGTATCGACTGGCGGTTGGGCGAAGAGCCTGGCGGTTGGGCGAAAGGGTTTTGATACGTATCGACGGGCGTTTCGCCAAACCGCGACGTTTTTCGCCTTCGACAAAACGCTAGCTCCATCGCGGTGGCGTTTTTCGCCAGCGAAATCGATACACATCTATTGCTTTTCGCCCAACCGCCCAACCGCGGCGGTTCGGCGAAGCAAGCGGTTGGCGATTATCCGATCGATGACTATTTTTCGCTTTTCGCCCAACCGCTGGGTCGCAATCTGTGAACAATGCCTAACCCGACCGCCCTGGCGTTTCTCTCTAGGCGGAGCCAGCGAAATCGATACCCATTTATTGCTTGTCGCCGAGCAGGCGAAGAGGCGACGTCCTCCAAAGCGGTTGGCGATTCTCCGATCAATACGTATTCATTGCTTTCCGCCTAACCGCTGTTGCGTCAGGGTCGCAAACTGTGAACAATGCCTTATAATTCTCATGATGCTTGCTCCACTTGTATCTTTTTCAAGTTTTTACTTAGTTTGATTATTTCTTACCATTTGTGAATCTGTATTTCCGCGGTATAACTGTACTTTGATTTCACAGCGCTAATAACTCTGGGGCATTTAAAAGAAATCTCGCGCAAAACTCGGGCTCCATCAACAAGTATTAGGACTTCGGCCCAAGCCCGAAGGGGAAGAGGTTCGGAGTTGGTGAATTTATTTAAAGAACGCTACTTCCGCAATCACGTTGGTAGTTCCAGTTTTGCGCAAATCCATTGAGTACCCCAAGATTATTAGCACCTTGGTATTAGCATTCATGTTTAGGACAAGATCGATATTGCTGGTTTTCTTTATATTTACGGCTATATTTGAGAGTAAATATTCTGTAATGATGGGGCTGTTTGGTAAGAAAAAGGATCCCAAGGAGCAGGTTCGTGAAATGCAGCGAAAGATGAGAGGAGAAATTCGGTCGCTCGACAGACAAGTGTATGCCATTCAACGAGAAGAGCAAAAGGTATAAAAGGTTTATGAAACGAAAGTCAGGTACAGAATATAACGAGCAGAAGCTTCATAGTTCATGTAGCTTCTGATCATTGAAACGCTTAGCAGCGTTCATACTTTGTAACGGGAGCATAGCAAAATCGGCAGATCGACGTTTTGCGATGCACGCCAGACAAAACGTCATTGGCAGTTTTCTATTTTTCTGATCAGAAACTATAAACGCAGCTTAAAGCGTTTTCCCATACTCGCGTTTTGTCAATTTCCCAGCCATACGAAATAGGATCTGTGCCTATTCAGGTCACTAAAGAGATCAAAGAAGCTGCAAAGAAAGGCGATAGGGAGGTATGTGTGGTCCTGGCGAAGTCATTATTACAATCTCGGAAGGTCTGTTGTCTCCTCTTTAGTTACAGGATAAAATGGTTTTATGGAAGCGTCCAAGGGATTCCGTGAAGCAGCATCTGGCCTCCCAGTCCCAAATTCTAATCTAGCAGTTTTTCTGTGTTGTAACTTTGAGTTTTTCTCCATATCCAATTTTATATATGTTGAAGGCTGTCGCGAAAATACACATGAGTAAGGCTCAGATCAATTCGGTCATAATGTGCATGCAAGAGCAGCTAGCAACGATGAGAATGGCTGGTTCGCTCCAGAAGTCCACACAGGTCCTGCAAAGCATGCAAAATCTTGTAAAGGTGAGTAATTCGTTGGAAAATTTTTAGGCACTCGACTTTTTCCAATAATGATCGCAGCTTTTTGATGTAATTTCTTTTGGGTGGTTCTCTTCATCACGTTGACATTAGTCGCTTGTTGAGTAACTGCTGTGTGAGATTTTATGTTGCTTGTACCGTTAAGTGGTGATCCGTGAGGCTGCGTTTATACTTTGCGGCAGCGTAGCGTAGCGCTTCCAGCGTTTCACTAGCGTTTCGCTAGCGTTTGCCAGCGGCGGGCTAGAGAGTATAGAAGAGTAGGAGAGTACAAAATACTCGGCGGCGCTAGAGAGTATAGAAGAGTAGGAGAGTACAAAATACTCGGCGGCGCTAGAGGGTATAGAAGAGTAGGAGAGTACAAAATACTCGGCGGCGCTAGAGAGTATAGAAGAGTAGGAGAGTACAGAATACTCTCCTACTATCCCATAGTCTCTACTCCCTGCCGCTGCAAGCGCTAGCGAAACGCTCGTGAAACGCTGGGAGCGCTAGATCGATAGCTATACATCCCGTGCCCTCGCTACGCTAGCGTACGCTGGCGTACGCTGGACGCTGGGAACGCTAGATCGATATCTATCCTTTCCCCGACACTGCCGCTGGCGTACGCTGGAAGCGCTACGCTACGCTGCCGCAAAGTATAAACGCAGCTTAAGCGAATAACAGCAAAACCAGAGGCGCTATCTCGTTTGTGGATGGGGAGGGGACTGAAGGAAGGTAAGGGACAATCTGGAGCTTGGCGCTTAATTCACCAGCATTTGACCGGAACGTTCTCTCCCACATGATAAGTATTTATTGCTTTTCGTCGTTTCCCCTATTCGTCAGGGTCGCAGTCTAAGAACAATTTTAGGGAGAAAGAGACAGAGAGCCAGTCCACGCTTAACCTCTACCGCTTTGATGATGCTCAAGAGTGCTCGTAACACCTTATAATCGAACACTGTCAAACAAGGGTCAAGTAATCAGGCCTGTCCGAACCAATGTGTGAGAGATCCGTCCAGTTGAAGAGTTTCTTATCGGTCAAGACAAAAGTTTCTATATTCTCAGTCGCTTCTATGCTGATGCTTACCTCGCATTTTTATCAATTAGTTTTCATTTGATGCAATATTCAGCTCTTTGCTGATTTCTGGGCATGACACAGCATCTTGGAAAATTCCCAGCAGGGGTCGTACACGGCTGCTGAAGAGGGGGGGGGGGTCGTACTTTCAATTAAGAAAAAATTTTTGGTTGTTGACTTTTTTCGGTTTTCCCGTTTCCTGTCCATCCTGTCCCCCCCCCTCTCCACCCACTCACTCCTTTTAATTGCCAGCGCCGCATACTTCCAAAGCCGGTCACTGTGATGGCTGAAATTAGTAGTTCATACCATTTTCACTTTAAATCGGACACTTTTCAAACCAAATCGGACACTTTTCAAACCAAATCGGACACTTTTCAAACCAAATCGGACACTTTTCAAACCAAATCGGACACTTTTCAAATCAAATCGGACACTTTTCAAACCAAATCGGACACTTTTCAAATCAAATCGGACACTTTTCAAACCAAATCGGACACTTTTCAAACCAAATCGGACACTTTTCAAACCAAATCGGACACTTTTCAAACCAAATCGGACACACCCCTTACAATTAGGTGGTTGATAACTAGACCACACTAGGTACTGTTGCAAGCCCCATTATCCCCGCCCACTTCTCAGCGCGGACAGGGTTTTCCGAGATGCTTCATGAAATCTGCTCCCTCGACTTTTTTTCGTTTTTGCCCTTTGCACACACACTTCAACTGAAAAAGATTGATACCTATACAGATCTGACTCCGCCCACTTAACAATGAAGTTACGTAAGTTCTGAATTTTTATAACTTTTTTCGACGTAGTTCTTTTCACATCCAATCTTCACAAAACGAATAACCATGCACAGCACACCAGGCCCCGCCCCTCTGACCCCGCCCACTTGTGTTTATCGCGGAATTTTGGTTTTTCTTCCGGATTTTCGCTTTTTTAGGCTTTAGCGATTGGCTCCGCCCACCAATGGAAGCTCCGCCCACTTTTCGAAAATGATGCAAATCGGCGGGCTAGTGTCCGTACTGGCGGATTACGGCCTCTCCCGTCGCTCAGAACAAAGTTTCCCTTTTTTCCGGTTTTTCCCTTTTTTTATTCTATGTGCCGGGAGAGGCCGTAATCCGCCAGTACGGACACTAGCCCGCCGATTTGCATCATTTTCGAAAAGTGGGCGGGGCTTCCCCAAAGTGGGCGGAGCTTCCATTGGTGGGCGGAGCCAATCGCTAAAGCCTAAAAAAGCGAAAATCCGGAAGAAAAACCAAAATTCCGCGATAAACACAAGTGGGCGGGGTCAGAGGGGCGGGGCCTGGTGTGCTGTGCATGGTTATTCGTTTTGTGAAGATTGGATGTGAAAAGAACTACGTCGAAAAAAGTTATAAAAATTCAGAACTTACGTAACTTCATTGTTAAGTGGGCGGAGTCAGATCTGTATAGGTATCAATCTTTTTCAGTTGAAGTGTGTGTGCAAAGGGCAAAAACGAAAAAAAGTCGAGGGAGCAGATTTCATGAAGCATCTCGGAAAACCCTGTCTGCTGAGAAATGGGCGGGGATAATGGGGCGGGGCTTGCAACAGTACCTAGTGTGGTCTAGTTATCAACCACCTAATTGTAAGGGGTGTGTCCGATTTGATTTGAAAAGTGTCCGATTTGGTTTGAAAAGTGTCCGATTTGATTTGAAAAGTGTCCGATTTGGTTTGAAAAGTGTCCGATTTGGTTTGAAAAGTGTCCGATTTGGTTTGAAAAGTGTCCGATTTAAAGTGAAAATGGTATATTAGACCGACCCCCTCCCCACCGTATTGACGGCAGTTTTGGGGAAAACTGGAAAATACTCTGTAAGGGGGTAGGAAGAGGGGAAATTCAGGAAAACGGCAGGTAGGATAGGGAAGGGGTTGCACCAGATGTGAAAATTGTGGCAGGGTTTGTACTATCAGCGCCATTTCACACATCTCCATGTTATACCCTGCATGACCCCTAATCATTGGCTCAACACCCTCTGTGACGTTGAATTTATTCGCTGTAGATACAGTGCGAATGATCAAGTGAAACCTTTTTGTGGGTTCTACCTTAATGTTTCAATAGTATTCTCAACTCTTCTTGAAGTTTCCGATCCTGACCATACTTTTTGGAAATGCATAGAATGTTGAATTTTGCATTGTACATTACCAGATACTCTTCTTGATTCCCTTGTATACTGACTTCCAAATGTATCTCATGTTTTCTAAACCCTCATTATTCTTTAATCAAATGTAACACTGTGATCAGTTTAGGTTCCTGAGATAATGAAAACTATGAGGGAAATGGCGCAAGAGATGATGAAACTAGGTATCATTGACGAAATGATTGAAGAAACCATGGAAACCATGGAGCCGGCAGATCTCGAAGAGCAGGCTCAGGTATGCGTTTTACACCCGATATTGTATGACGCACGACTTTGGTAGTAATAATAGTTAAGGAGGGAGGGGAGAGCATGTTTCAAACGAACACTGAGCAGAAGAAAATGGGTGTGGAGAAAGAGCATTTTTTAGTTCTTGTGACAGCCAGTAATCTTAAGGATCTTGGTATTCCTTGGTTGTTAACTTTCTGCACCTTTCTGAACTTCTTTTTCTGTTATGCGCTCCTGGCCCCAACTCCTTCCCGTTCTGAGCGCGCACTCGAAATTTCACAGCTCCATCAGTTTTTTTTTGTCTCAAACTCATTCAGAAAGCAAGTTACAAATCTAGGTTGAAGCTATTCCTAGTTTGAAAAACGCCTAATCCATACCGTTGGATTTGTTTTGCTTATCATATCACTTGACATCCCTATCCTAGATTGTCCTGCAATAGTAAGAGCGCGTTCAGACTTCGCGATCGGATTGCGCGATCGCGCTACTGTGGGTGAAATTACACCGGGAGGGGGTCATGTTCGTTCATGTTTATTGTTCCTGTTCTTTTTTTCCTTTTCCTTCTTTCTTCCTTTGTGTACATAACGCCCTCCTAATTTTAAGGAACGTTTCGAAATATCTTTGAGTTATTTATTATTTCCTATGTAAAATAGTACTAAATATACAATATGCTAATTATTATACTGAATTTTGCATCTGAGTACGTTCAAGCGGAGTATTGAACATCTTGTTCCAAAAGTAAGACACGCAGAACTTTCAACAGCGGGTGATGTTGTTTCTCTCCCTTCCCCCGATTTTGCCAGTCCTCCAGATATTCACTTTACTTTTGTCACATTGTGTTGCTTTGTTTGTTCTGCCATCCTCCAGGTCTATACACAACCTTTCCTTTCGACGGTTTCTGCAAACGTCAGTATTGCGAATATGAACACGGAATAAAAGACATCAAAAAAGGTCGAACTACTTTTATATCGTTTTTGGAACTGCCTATTGGAGGCAGGATACAGCATCGTGATGTGAGAAATGGTGATATCAGTACGACTCCCCAGAACTTTGTTGTTGTTGTTTGTTGAGTTGAGTTGAACATGAACGAACATGACCCCTCCCGGTGTAATTTCACCCACAGTAGCGCGATCGCGCGATCCGGATCTATCTCTTCTTGCGTTCTTTCCCGATTTTTTTTCTCATCTCAGAAGACCGGTCATTCACTTACCGACTTCCTCTCTACCGCTGTGACTCTCATCACGAATGCTTGTTTTGCCTTTGGATATGACCAAGGTCCACATATTATCTTTCTGTGACGAATAATGTTGACTCATTGTATAATTTGGAAATGGCAGTGGGCGTGAACAATTATTAGGTTGTTCGAAAAGTCCTGCGACACTTTGATTGAATTGTTCTAGAAAAAGACCAAAAATCATTTTGGATGTTTTTATCCCTGATTAGTGGAGTGTGTCTCTGGGGTTTCTGCACATGGGTATATCATGACTTTGTGGAAGTTTTCAAAGCTTAAAAGTCCCCAGAGATCGAGGTACTTTTCGACCTATCCCATATTATGAGTTCCTGTAGGGCAACTCCGCCGTAGTCG